AACGCCATCATTTTTTCATTTTTTTCTTTTACTATCCTTTTTTGTAATGCTTTCAACAAACTATTAATATACGATTTCAGCATGTGTGTGACAATTGCACCAAATATTGCTCATCATCGTTAAAAAACCACCGTTACTGATTACCATTCACCATAAAAACTGGCAAATTTAAAAATATAAATTGATCAAACAAAACTATTTTAGAAAACCATAATATTGAAAAAAAATTAATGTGCAATTATTTAAGCAGAATAGAGAATAAAGTTGAAGCATTTAAATGCCTAAAAATGTCAACTTGCCTGCATCACAAATAATGAAATATAATGAAAATGTTTTGTATTTGACATTTATGCGGCAGTGCTGATTTTCTAATGACCAATTCAGCAAAGTTAATGCTTCTTTATCTTTATATTTTAAAATTAAAATTAAACTGATTTTCAAATTTTTTATTGTTTATACAAAATGTTTTATATAAATAAATATTTTTAGTTANAATGTGCCATTATTTAAGCAGAATAGAGAATAAAGTTAAAACATTTAAATGCCTAAAAATGTCAACTTGCCTGCATCACAAATAATGAAATATAATGAAAATGTTTTGTATTTGACATTTATGCGCCAGTGCTGATTTTCTAATGACCAATTCAGCAAAGTTAATGCTTCTTTATCTTTATATTTTAAAATTAAAATTAAACTGATTTTCAAGTTTTTTATTGTTTATACAAAATGTTTTATATAAATAAATTTTTTTAGTTAATAAACTTAGTATATAGGCAATTAAGTTTACTATTGCTAAAATCACATTGCAAAAAAGTGATGAAAAATTGTAAAATCAAGTGGTAAAATGCCAAAAATTTTTACAGTAAAAAAATATAATAAAAAATATGGCTTATTAATAATAAATCATATTGTTTAGCAAAACTAAATACTTGATTTAAAAATTTGAAATTTTATATAAATAAATACTAAAGTAGCATCTAGCGTGAAAAATACTTTAAATTTTTGTGGTTTAAATTTAACTAATTTTGATCAAATTGTGTTTGTAAAACATAGATATAACACAAACTGGTTGCAAAAAAGTTTAAAAAGTTAATAAAAATCATTTGTAAAACACGTATGCAAAAATATAGTTTTAAGTAATTAAAACTTTATTAAAGTAAAAAAATGCAGTTAGTACATCATGATAAGTTTTCAGTTGTGTAAAAATACAAATAAACTAAAAATGAAAGAAGTTGTTGAAATAATTTCTACAAAATTTAATTTTATACATACAACAGGTTATTTCAAAATCAGTTTTTTAAAATTTTTTTAAATAACTTGACTAACTATTGGTATATAATAAAATGGATAAATCGACCAGTTTTATAAATGTAGTTACAAAAAAATTACAGATTTTGAGACTCATTTATTTGATTGGCCAAGTTTCAATTTGGGTTAGTTTGCTTGAACTGAGTTTGTATAAGATTGTCAAATGTTAGCTTTTAGATCGATCATTGCTGTGCAGACAAAATGTACTGACTGTTACAAAACAAGCGGACAATTCGATCAAACGGAAACTGACATAATCAAATAGAGCACGACAGATAAGAAGGATGAAAAGGATAGTTCAGTTGACGATTTTAATTATGATCACTCTTTGATGATGCGCTCACTGAAGCGGTCTAAACCGATACAACAGCACTGCAAACGTAGGCTAAAAACTTAAAAACAAACTAATCAATTTAAAAATAAAACTTGAATAAAGTGTTTTTGTATTGTTTTTAAATGATTACAAAATGTTATTTAACTTCTTTTTTCAAATTTATATGTTTTACTATAAACAAATTTCACTCACATTAATTGTTGCTGATTTTAACAATGCAAATATTTTCATTATAAAAATATCTTGTCGTTTGCACTTAAATATTTAGTATATAAAAATAAGTACAAAATATGTTGAAAATNCTTTAACAATGCAAATATTTTCAATATAAAAATATCTTGTCGTTTGCACTTAAATATTTAGAATATAAAAATAAGTACAAAATATGTTGAAAATTAGGCCACAATAAAAGCTTTTGCACAAAAATGTTGTTTTAAATTTGACTGAGTGAGCAATAGTAATAGTAGAATATAAAATTCAAATCGCCTCATGCTAAAACAGTTCAAGTTGATTGTGTCAGTCGGTCGTTCTCAATTATCACTAATTTACAGTTGTCTTCCAAAGATGCTAGTTTGGCCATTTATCACGTGTTTTTATTAGCCAAACAAAGAGAATTAGAAAATTTAGTGAGAATAAATGACTTTTTTACACAGGTGCATCGTCAATCAAAGTGGAACTGTCGGCAGTATCTGCTCAACTTTCGTTGCACTTTGCTGATAAACTGTGTTTGAAATTGCCAAAGCAGCATTTTCAAATTTTTCCGTTTTTGGCGCGTTCTTTTATATACTGCTGCTCGCAAAGCAAAATTTGAAAGAGAAGAGAATTCCTCTTTTGACAGTGCAAACTTTGTGGTCGGACAGAGCAAGTGGCACCGACAACAGTGGCTGCTCTTTGTCGGCCAAGTGGCAGCCAAATGCGCTCAACTGCTGCTAGTGTCAAGTGCTACTGAGGAGGCAATCGATCCGAGGCGTCAGTGCCGCAATGTGTCTCTGTTGTCTGTGTTTATGGGAATGTACGCATTCGAGTGGAGGTATCTGCTTCAACTGTGCTTCAGTACTTTCAGCGCAGTTCAGCATACTGTTAAGCAACACAAAGTATTCTGCACCGTCTGGTAACGGTAAAATAGATTCACCTAGACAGGTAGTGGGTGAACTGATCAATAGTGACTGTCTGGCAAAGTACAAAGTTCAGCAGTTTTCAAACTGTGCAAATCAATGCCCCAATTGAACAGAACAAATTCTGACAGTTGTAAGCAGCTGGCTTTTTCTTGACTAAAATTGAACAGTGCATTCTTGTGAAAAAGAACGCAATTCTTGTTAATTGAAATATCACTCGGTCAGCGAATAAATCAATAAACGCACAAAAAGGTATTTTCTAAAAAAATGATTAAGTAATTATAAAATGTAAAAATGCTCAAACAACTAACAAAAGTAAAAAATATTTTAACACAATGTACTTTTTAAAAATCGTCTTTTTTAAAATTCTATTGTAATAACTTTTAAACTTTCAACAAGTCACAAAAACTGTGTAAACTAAAATATTTGCATTTTAAAATTAAACTTTTTAATTTTTACACTTTTTGATTTGACATGTTCACTGGAAAGAGTTGTGAGTCAGAATAGCTCATTATTATGTCCCAGAAATGTGACAGTGATGTACCATAGTGGCTGTCAATGAAAAAGTACTATGTAAAACAGGCCACAATTAAAACGAGCGGTACATAAAACTTAAAAAAATAAAGTCTGACAGACATTAAACTGAGCTGAATATGAACTGGACGACCAGAAAAGCAAACGCTGTGTAAGTGAAACTTTTAATTTAAAGTGGTTTTGCTGACAGTCAAAAAAGAACAAAAGCAAGAAAGACAGTTTTGCCGGCTAAAAACCCAGTTTAGTAAATGGCAGAGTAGGGAAGGCGAAGCACAACTTCATTTGTCTGTGATCGAGTGCACATGCAAATGAACACAAAAGGCCAAATCATTTGCCATTCCCTTTCTCATGTTAGTAAAAAACTTCCATGCATTCTAATTAAGAGACAAACTAAAAAGAATTGAAAAATCACTTGTAAATAAAAATGAAAATGAAAAAATATTGCAGTAGTAAAATAATGTTCTTTTCACTATACTACTTTTTATTAAAACATTTTATTGATTGAAAACTTGAAAATTTTATTTTGCAGTGCAAGCAGCATTTGGTTCATTTAAGGGGGGACAACGCGCTCTTTTTACTGCTTTTTGGAACTTTGATTTCGGGGTGGCTATGATGTTCATGAAACATGTACTCAATACGAATTGCTAAGAATATCATGTAGAACAGTTTAGTGTTGATAGCTTGGCCCTCCGATGAATAGGCCGCCATCAGCAACGATCTAAGTTTTCTAAACACAACGGTAACCACATCGGTATCATAGGAAGGTGGCATGGCTTGATTGAAGGTGCCAAATGAAAGATAGCAATAATATCTAAACTTTGTTTGGCTTCGATTAATTTTTGAAAGTCTCAGTTTCTTTTAAACAATTTTTGATTCAAGACGTAGGTTGAAAAACTCGTAAAGTTAAACTTTAAAATTAATTTTTTTAAAAACTAAANATTTTTGATTCAAGACGTAGGATGAAAAACTCGTAAAGTTAAACTTTAAAATTAATTTTTTTAAAAACTAAAGTTATTTTCAAAAATCGAAGCCGAACAAAGTTTAGATAATATTGTCGTCTTTCATTTGGCACTTTCAATCAAGCCATGCCACCTTCCTATGATGTCGATGTGGTTACCGTTAGGGTTTAAGATCTTGGTAAGAAAAAGCTATTGACTAGAAAGGGAAACTAAAAATTCGAAAATATTTTGTTTATTGCGCGCAGTCCCCCCTTAAAAACAAAAAAATTTTTAATGCTTAATTGCAGTTTAGTTTTATCAAAAAGCACTTGTGCATTTAGTAAAGCAGTGCTTTGATATATTAGAAAGTACTCGAAATAAACGATTCATGGCTCCATTAGACGAAGCAAACGCCATTTGGGCTTTACATCAAGAAGGTGCTTATTAATAAAGCGTCCTTTTCCATTGGTCGTGTCAATCAGCAAGCCGTAGTTGGAGCGAACATAAAGGTTGATCAAGTGCTGAGTCTGCGGATCGCGATAAACCAACATTCGACTGTGGTTGCTGAAATAGTACAAACTTGTTGGACTTTGCAAATATACTTGAAACTTTTTGTAGATGACAATGGTCACCAAAAGGAACCAAAGTGGAACGACAAACATGCGGCGAAAGTGCTGGTAGTAGGTTGCCTGCTTCGTGAAAAAGCCCTGAATGTGCTCCAGAATAAAGTAAGCTGCAACCACTGAAGCAAGGATGCTCTTGAAGACATACGCGTTGCGTTTGCGAATGTAGACTTGATTCGATTCATGCGAAAGCATGTTGACACGTGAGTTGATGATGGTGCCAGTGTAGAACTGACCGCACATCTGACAAGGCTTGTCTAGAGAACTCGCAATGGTTTTCACCATGCACTGATCATGTAGAAAAACACTGCTGCAGGTGCAGCGACGAATGGCCAGATTTGATGTTGCAAGATCCGATTCTTTGCGGCAAACAAAACACACTCCGGTGGCTTGTTTAGCAGTGTTCTCTTTAATTACAAGTTTTCCTTTGTATTCCCCTTGAGTTGACGTAAGTTTGTTTTCAGCAACATTGTTGGTCAGCAATTTTGAATCTTCAGAACGCAGTATATCGCCAGTAAACTTGGGTATAACATAGTTTGAAAGCTGGCTAGACATGTTGAGGCAACACAAGATAACTTCATCCAAAGCTAAACTAAAAAACACTTAACAAACTATCATTAATTTATTCACTTTCCTAAGTCTATTCGAACTTATTTAAAAAATTCAAAAAATTAAGATTGCTGCAGAGGCGCCCTCTTTCAACTGAATTCAAAACTTGTTTAGCAGAGCTTACCGGGTAGTTTAGCAAAATAACTTCAACTTTTCATAATTGTATTCTTTATTGCAACTGATTTGCTACTGTTCTTTTTTAGTAATAGTTATTATCACCACGGTATCAGTTTACCTAGTTACGCTCAATCTATCTGCAATTCCTCAATCGATGGCTATCTTTGCTGCGATAACTCCTTGTTGACATACTGGCTGGATGCAGTCAGCAGTGGTGCACCGTTCCTTATCACTAGCTTTCCAATGGCAATCTCCGTGTACTTTTTTTGGTTGTGCATTGACTGTTCTCTTTATTGCAGCTACTTTTCTCCATTGCTGGTGATGGGAATGATGGCTGTGATGAGGATCAGCAAGGACGAAATGACCGACCGTGTCTCCTTCGCCACTCCAAATGCCACGCGGAGAGCCGGCAAACTCTCAGCAAGAGCACGTGTCAACAATGTGGATCAACGCATGCAGAACGGGGAATGCCTGCTGAAAGGACAAACATCGCTTGTACAATTGAAATGGCTTTGGCGGACAGATAAACGCTCTCAAAGCTCACTAATTAAACTGGCTGCTTGTGAGAGATGATGCTTGAGCTCTTACTAAAAACTGACAACATTTCTTCTTTTATTTTGTAGTCTGGCGGTTGTCAGTTTCCTTTAACTTACCTGATGATGCCAACCATTGATGCTTTACCGGAGAAATGCCTTATTGCCGTACTGCGCAGTTTGCCCTTAAAAGAGGTGCTACAAGTGGCCTCAGTGTGTCGGCTGTGGAATGAAGCCGTGAAGAAGGTGTGCCATGAACGAGTTTCCCTGAACATACGGGGTCGTTCCATTCTGAACGTAGACAGTAAGGAGTCAGCTCGTCACCACCTCATACTAAGCGACTTTCTGGCCTTCTTTGGAGTCGATCACTATGACCTTTTTGAGCCATACCTTCTAAGTAGTCTTTTTGGCGTAAACGAAGATCGCATCAAGACAAGCTCTTTTCTGGTGCGCTAGTTTCCCAACATCCGTCGTTTCAGTTACTACGGCGGCGGAATTGTCTTTAAAGATCTGATGAACCTGCTGACCCATTGGAAGCACCTCAGCCATTTGACCCTCATCATTCCGACGGCATTCAACTGGCCACTGGCATGGAAGTACATTAACACTTTGCGATCCCTCACCCATCTGTCTCTCATTGCCGATGGCTTTGTCTTTCTGCCTCGAGTGATGCCTCGCCTAGTGCAGTTCAACTACGCAACAGTGGATGGCGTTAGCAAAGCATGGCTCATTGGCAGTTTGAATCCACAGCAAATTCAGCAGATTGGTATTGGCTGCTTCGAACAGCAAACCTTTGACCTGAACCGCAATCAGAGGGTCATCAGAAGGCTGATACTGGCCAACATGTGGCTTTCCAAATGCGTGACACGTTTTTCTAATCACCTAAGCTCAGTGAACATGTCTTTTCTCAACTTTATTTGTAATCACTTCACCTCCCTACAGTTCCTCAACATTTCATTTGCCGACAGTGTCACCTTTAATGAACTGTTTGAAAAATTGTGCAAACTAACTGAACTGCAGCACCTGCGAATTGGCTCACTGCGCCAAAATGCACGTGTCGAAGAGATGCGTCTTGTGGAAAATGATCCTTTTCGGCTGATCACCAAAGAGAACGTACAAAGCATTCCAAAGCTCACTTCAGTTCGTGTGTTGCACATTTATGATTTCGAAATTGACAACGCAAAATTGTCGCTTCTTGAGTGCATGTTCCCTGCCGTAGAAAGCATCCTCATACAGGATCAGGCCAACTTTTGCTCTCACCAGCACCCGTACCGACGGATGGTTTGTGAAGTTTGCCCGAAAGAGGTGTTCAAGACGCTATCACAGATCAAATCAGTGCGCACAGTTAGAGTGGTTTTCAATGGACAGATTATTTTTGAAAAATAAAGTTTTGGTTATAATTTTTAGCATTTGCTTTTATATTTTTATATTTGCTTTTTTACTTTTCAAGTTTAACTGATTTTTCCACTTTATAAGACAATTAATTTCCTGTCAATCTTGTCACTGACTGCATGTCAATGCACCTCCTTTTCAGTATAAACAAAATTGGCTAAATTGCAAATTAAGCGTTCAAAGGCTAACCAATGATGCATTGTAAAACGTTGAGTCTCAGTCAAGAATGCGCTTGACTTGTGCAAACTTCAGGCAAAGCGAGTACATGCAAACTTCAGCTTTCTTTTGTAACCCTATAATGCTTGGTAAAGTCGGTTATTTTTAGATCTATCAGATTTGCATCGCAACTCTGAAAGCAGCCCAGAACTGCCGGGTGGCAACCTTGGCAAGGTGGCACTACTGCCGCAACTAAGTTTTGGAGCTTCGTCTAAAGTGCATGATGCAGCAATGATGCAAATGTCTTTTTTTTGGAAAAAGAAGTGCAACTAGTGCTTGTTGCATCGACAAATTGAACGGCTAATGGCTGTTCTGCAAAGCATTCGGTGCCTCGCTGACACTCATCAATCAATAGACTTTGACAGTGCTAATGCAATTCTTACGTCTTCACTGCAAAAACAACATCGTAGTGCAGGGTCATAAATGCGCCACAGTTTAATAAAAAATTTCCCATATTTCCATCGTGAAGTTAGTTAAAATGGCTAAAACATCATTTTTTGGTTTTTACAGGCAAGAGAAGTTTGAGGGCCCACTTGCAAGCGCTGTGAGGTCAAATGAGATAAGTATAGGTGTCACCGTGTTACTACTTGCGCAGTCTTCTGAGAGAAAAATATGATTAGATCAGCAGTTTTGGAGATGAACTAGGTTACACATTTAGTTGTGGTGATAAGTGAAAAAGATGCTAATAGTAGTAGTATAATAAGATGAAGCTGTTTCACAGCTATGCCCTGTGCTTAGAGTCGATCAGTCGGATTGTGTTTCATCGTTTAGAGTTAGAAAAAGAAGAACGGCACTGGCAAATTGATAGGCCCAAGTATTTTGGTGAGCTGCAGGAATGAATGTCTCTGTGGTAAAGCAGTGATTTCTGTGCCACTTGGGAAAACAATGCAGTGAATAGTGGAACCCTTCTCAAATGGCAGCAGCTAAAAAAGACGTCGTAGTTGTTGAGATGTCTCTGGCTGATGAAGTGCCACACTGTCAATCAGGAGGAAAAGTTGAAAAGAGGAAACAGAACAGTGTCACAGTGACAGTAAGGCTGACAAGCGACAGGCACTATTGAGATTGTCCTACTGACACTGTCCTTTTGTCGGACGCATATTTGGATTTAGTGCTTACTGGTTCGGAGGACCAGTGAGGACAAATTGGAGTCAAGAATGAGTGAGCACACTTGCCGCTCTGGTACAATCACTTCACAACTGTCGTCTTTATTCTTCTCCGCGAAGTAATCGTTGCATCAAGAGCGAGCGCGCGCGTCTGTGAACAAGGGACGCAGACTGCTCGTCATCTCAAGTTTCCATTACGTTACGTGTCACTGCTGTCTGGACCACGGAGCTTCAATTGACCATGGCATTTTAGAAATTTAGTCTGCAGAAACGGGACACGTGGACGAGCTGGTTAGGAGCAGTGTTTGATGGTTTAGACAGAAAGTAATCCTTGTACAGGTTTTAAATGACATTTTTAGCGACCCAACAAACGCACAACTAACAGATAGATGTCTCCAAACATGAAAATTTGTCAAGTTATTACCTATCACACTCTCAGAAGTAGAAATACTAACTTGTATCANCTTCAATTGACCATGGCATTTTAGAAATTTAGTCTGCAGAAACGGGACACGTGGACGAGCTGGTTAGGAGCAGTGTTTGATGGTTTAGACAGAAAGTAATCCTTGTACAGGTTTTAAATGACATTTTTAGCGACCCAACAAACGCACAACTAACAGATAGATGTCTCCAAACATGAAAATTTGTCAAGTTATTACCTATCACACTCTCAGAAGTAGAAATACTAACTTGTATCATTTACAGATGAAAAAGTGAGACGTTGTATTTATTTACATTCGATTAGAACAGTGGCACTAATTGGTCGAAATCAAAGGCTCTCTCAAGTGTATGTTTGTGTGTGTCTGGTGATTGCAAGTACAGTCAAGTGCACGAGCTTTGCTTCGCACTCGTCAAAACAATCCCGTTGAGTAGACCAAAATATTTACTCAATTTGACGGCCATATCGGCTGTTATATAACTGCATTTAGTTTATTATTTACTTTTCTCTCCTTGTGAGGTAATTTTGGGGCAGAACTGCCGAGATTTTTAGATCAGCAAGTGGCTGCACATTTCACTGTAACATGTGACTTTTGCTGTTTGGAGGTCTCACTAATAACATCTTTGCTGTTGAAAAGTATTGTCGATAAGCTTAAAAGAAGTATTCAGTTTCATCAAAAGTATTTTAATCTTGGAAACTTCCGTTTGTACAGTTACAATGGCTAAAGAAAGAGTTTTTATACTGATAATTAAAATATTTATCATTCAAAGAGCACTCTTCCTGCTGGTAGAAAGTGTTTGCAAACCTTCATGCCAATTGGTTGCGCCTGATAATGCTGGAAGAGGACGCAACAAATATATTATCAATCAAAAGCAACGTTTGGTTGCACCGTATAACTATGAGAATAGTGATAATCTAAAAAAATGGGAGCAAAGACAGAGCTCTTGATTGCCTCGTTCTCTCTTGGCTGAACGCAATGAACAGATAAAAAGAAACTCTGATACAAATATCTGCAACTAGCTAGTCAAATCACGAGCAAAACGGCCCAACATTTAGAAGACGACATCAGCGGCGGATGTACGACAGACTGATTAGAAGTTCAGCAACTGAAGACTGCAATAAACTTTATTGAAAGCAGTTTTTAGTAAGTACAAAAGTGATGGGTGTTATGGTACAAAAATGTGTTTGCATCAGTTCAGCCTCTAGTTTGGGAGCTAATAGTGCAGTGAGTAATAATAAGTTAGGTTTGCCAAATGTGACTTGACTCAAATGAATAGTCGTAGTGTGAATGAGTTGACGTTTACCAGTGGAGTGTATTGCCTGGAGGGCGATGCAACCTCCCGATTAGTCGCTACTCTTCTGCGCGACTGGCTGAGATTGTGCATGAGTGTGTGTGTGTGTGTGTGTGTGAGAAAGAGAGAGAAAGGAAAGAAAGTGAGAGAAAGTCTGTATGAGTGTGAATGGCTGTGCGTGTGTCATTAACCGGTTAAGCCAGTGCACTGCTCCTTCCACAGTCTTATCGACAACTGAGACGTCCGATAATTGAGGCACATAGGCACCGCCGGAGAAACGGCAATGGCTACTTCAAAAGCATTCACGCTTGATCAACAGATTGCTGGTGGCGGGTGAAGGCGAGGAGACCGAACACGAGACTGAGCTCGTACCGAGGGTGCTTGTGCCGAGGCGGCCACTGCCAGAAAGGTGCTCGCTGGTGGAAGAGTACTGATCAACTGCCGTACTGCCGCCGTTGCTGTTGCCACCCTCCATCATCGACCTCTGACTGAGATAGGACATTGAAGGTGGATGGCCACTGAAATCGCCGCTGTGGTGCAAACTGCTGATGATTGCCGCTGGTGTAGAGTGAGGAGCACTGGGAGAACTGTTCGGTGGTGATGCTCCCAGCGAGGAGGAGGCGTCTCCGTACGGCAGGCTGAAGCCAATGTTGCGCAGGTGGGCGCTTTGGTGGGCACTGCTGAGGTCATTGAGCATTGCTGAGGCTGCATAAGGTGTGTGCGTCTGGAGGTGGTGGTGAGAGGCACTGCTGATGCTGCCACTACCACTGCTGTTACCTCCTCCTCCTCCTCCTCCGCCACTTTGCTGATGACCATAGCTTGTGGCACTAGAGTACAGCGAGCTACCATTTGCCAGTTGAGAAGAACTGTTGGCATGTGAGTTCATCAGCTGGGCCATCTTTGGCGACAATGCTGCCTCTCCGGAGCTGCCGTATGGCGAATAGTGGTTCTTGATAAAGTGCATCGAAGTGGGGAGAGTGACAGCATATGAATTAGCACTACCATTGCTACTACCTGACTGGTGCAGCATGAAGCTGCCAGTGTTGCTCGAGCCGCCATTGTTGGCCGATGTCCACAGTTGCGAGAAGGGCTGCGTTTGGTGGTGATGGTGGTGGTGGTGGGAGTGATCGATGAGCACCGAGTTGGCATCTAAAGTGCCGTACTGACACTGCGACAGTGCATTGGCACTGTACTCTAGACTGTTGGTCGTTCCAGTGTCCTCCGACAGTGTACTGGCGTAAGTAGGGGGCAGAGCAGATGATAAAGTAGAGATGGAGGGGATGGATGAGGCCGCAGAAGAGGTGATGGCATTGGAGAGGGACAACGATGAAGTGTGAGCAAAGGTGGAGTCTATTGAAGGCAGGGTGGTCGATGAACTAAGTGGATAGGTGGAGTACGGGGCCATCAGGCAGGAGGCCTGAGAGGCAAAGGGGTGCTCGTACGAGGCAAAGTGACCGGAGCTGGGTGTCATGCTCGACAGAGAGGTTAACTCAAATTGATCGGCCGCAGTGGAGGAGAGCGATGCAGAGTTGGTGCGATGAAGTGCCCCTTGCTGGGCAGAGTCCGCGGAGATCAGGTCGAGGTTGTTGGTGCCAATGCCGTTACCGCCGCCGCCACCGCCACCGCTTCCACCATTACCACCAGCAGCGACAACGGCACCATTCAGTTCACCACTGACGCTGCATGATTGTGAAGAAGAGTGGCCGTTATCGTTGGCCCCGCTGGTGGTGGTGGCGTAGTTGGCGAGGTGATGCTGATGCTGCTGCTGATGCGACTGACTGCCAGCGATTGCTGGGGCATTGACAGCATTTGAAGCAGCAGCACCTGCAGCGATCGAAGCAGTAGTGCTCATCACAAATGGCATCTTTCCGGTGGCTTGAGCCGCCATGCTCTGACATTTACGACGAAACCCGCGCGGTCTTCGACGGTAACTGCCTTCCTCAAACATAAACTCACTGGCAGGATCAATGGTCCAGTAGTGTCCTTTTCCTGGGCGACCAATGTTTTTGGGCAACTTGATGAAGCACTCATTCAGAGACAGATTGTGGCGCACTGAGTTTTTCCAGCCTTGATACGTGCCTAGTAAAGTGAATGACAACAAATTTGATGGGTTGAAATTATTTGGTTATCCTTTTCTGATTATTTTCTAAAAAAAGGATTAAATAGTTGACTTACCTCTGAAAAAGGGAAATTTTTGTTGCAAAAACTGATAAATCTCTGAAAGTGTCATCCGCTTAGTTTGACTCTGCTGAATAGCCATCACGATGAGCGCAATGTAGCTATAAGGCGGTTTCTCGGCTCTTCGTGCATTGGTGCCGTTCTTCTTTGTAGTGGTCACTTCTTGATCGTTGATGTCAAGCGAAGTAGTCATTGCAATCTCGGATGAACTGGTTGACATCGAGCTGCTTGGAGATAAGGAGGAAGTGGACATAATCATTTGCTTTCTTTGTCAACTTGAACGCTAGCACGTGGACAAATCACTGGAGCATTGTAAACACTTTTTAAAATAGTCAATTGCAGAAATGGAAAACAAGACGTGTGTTTAAACCGAGG